AATTTTTGTTTCCCTCGCTCTTCATTTTCGGGGGCTTTTGCTGGGCGAAAGAAACGATGGTTTATTTGATCGGTCCGTATATGTATGCGTGGCGTTGAATTGACTTTGTCTGGTCTGTGAGTCCTCGTATCGTCGTACCTTGGACTATCCACGTATTCTAGAATCCAACATGGATTGGGGACGGGCACTAAAGGAGAGGGGCAAGATCGGAAGGTTTATACCGAGATCTTTGTCTTTCTTTTCTCTCTCTCTCTCTCTCTCTCCCCTGTCCTCTTTCCTTTTGTGTTCTTTTCCACGGCTGTAAGATTTTTGGGAATTGCCTCAGGTGCAGTATGTACATTTCTGGCTACAAAACTTATGTGATGAGTTTCTATAAATTAAAAAAAAAAGAAACAAAAAAAAGAGTGCGCCTCTTTTACGTATTATCCCCCACAATACCATTGGCTTGTTAGGACCTTCATCTCATCGTTTTCCCCCTCATTCTCTAGCTGTAGAATGGAAGAAGGACAAAGTCTAGACCACGTCCCCTACCCCCTCTCTTCTCTCTCTACACGGCAGTCTTGGCCTCGGCAAACGTTACACGACAGCTCCCGCTCGCTTGGCTGAGCGGCATGAAGCACGTAGTTGCATAAGTGGCAAGTGTATACATGCGCTTACGCTTGGCCTGAGGAGCGGGGACATGACGGCGGGGTTAGGGAGAGGCACAAAGCTGTTGTTTAGGCGAGGTGTGGTGGGGTAGTTAGGCTGCTTCTTGTCATTTTTTGGTTATTATCGTGTGTGTGTGTGTGTGTGTGTGAGAGAGAGAGGGGGAGAGGGGAAAAAAGGTACGAACTGGCCAACACGGATGAGCAGTTGGAATGCTGCATTGCTAATCTTTGCTCATCACTTCGTGTAATTCTTCTGTGGTGCAACATCACCCAGATACCTACCTGTGTGCGAGCCTTCGGGTAGCTTTGGAAGGCGCAGAAGATATCTGATGATTAGGAAAATGTATGTCGCAGAGCCACGTAACGGTGCATCGTGCGCATTCTACAGGGGAATTACAAATCAATATCTCAATGATGTAGTCATGTAATGAGTAGGATGTGAGTGACGGAGTTGTGCAGATAATATGACATGGCTGGTCACAGATTGGTCAACAAAGCTGCGCATTGAAGCCGGGTGTGAGCGTGTATATAGATGTCACAGTCGATAATAGCCCATTGCGATGACAAAAATATGAGTTAATAATGAGCAGCTAGTGTAGCCGATCTATGTAAGATGCGGTTGGATGAGGTTCATATCGTGTCATCAAGGATTCGTCGATGCTTAGCCTTGTCACCCGACAGAATGGTCACATTTTAGATCAGCACTATTTTCATCATATGGCACGACAAACATGGAGACAATATCATGGCAAAGAAGAACGAGATTCATAGCTGCATTGATCGTAAACAGAGTTTTATGAATTCGATGGTCCTCATATCTCAACCGGTTCCCGTTCCTCGTGCCATCGTTGGTCCGTCGAAAAAGGAAATGAAGCCTTGGCCGTAGAATGCACACCTCCGTCTTCGAAAGAGATCTAACATGCCGAATTTCTGGCTTCCGTCAGCTGCTTTCCTCTCCATATACAGGTACCTCAAGGTACCGCCACATGCCATACCTCCACCCGTAATCCCCAACCACTTAACGAGACGCGCTCCAGACAGACTTGAGGAAGCCATCCTTTTGTGTGAGCCTGTTAAGGCTGTCGTCGGACTCTCCCATGGCACGAACGAAGCCGGAGATGGCGTAGACCTGGTTGTCACCGGTGTAACGGCCGTTCTCGTCAACCTTGCCGATGCTCAGTTGGACAGAGGCATGGTCCTTGGCCCTGATGATGCGTCCGGTAGCCGACTTGAAGGGGTCAGTATCGCCGCTCACGATTCAGTTACTTTTCTGACGGGTACTCACGCATTTGCGGGGGACGTAGACTGTTGAACAAGTTAGCGATGGTGGTTCGCGAGTGCAGTGTGCGGGCTGGCGGGGCCGCGCTGTGGGCAAACCACCGCCAGCTGCCACACGAGGAAAGGATGGCTCTTACGGTCAACGAGCTCGCCGCGTTCGTTCTCCATTTTGACTGATGTGTAGGTAGAGGGCGGGGTGTTGAGTGTGGGGCTTGGTTGTGTCGATGTCGTCGGCGGTCAATGGTGGATGAACTGAATTTCGACATTCGATTATCGCAAAGCCGCGCTAACCGTATTTGGAATAGTAATGTTCTCACATACTACCATTCACTCTTCCAATTCAGTGTGCAGTGAGTATTTTGAAACATGGTGAGTACTGGTGATTGTGACTCATCGCACCAAGCTCTGAGACTCGGTGTTGAGTGAGAAATGTGGCTTCATTTCAATACTCAGCCAAAGCATCAAGCTCGCTACGCAACTCTTGCGCACAATGGAATACAACTTGGAAGACAACGAAAAGAGAGAGGAGATCAGTTGGATTCTACATATGATCCTATAATAAACTGAAAACCGTCTTTTTGGGGGATTTTTACTCTGTTACATGGCAAAGTTCTCTCAGACTTCTACACCTGACGACTATTTACGGTTCAAGATATTGGATACATAAGAGTTTATGTAATATTTAAGGATGGAATACAAAACTATGGACCTTGTTAAGACCTATAGGCACTTGTGAGATCCATTGCGGCAATAGCACAAAGTGTAATGTAGTTCGCAGTTCTAGGAATAGTACACACGCCTACGAAATTCGCTACCCAAAGCACGTCACGCCTGTCAAAAGTTTCTTGGGACTCGAAAACAACCCTCACGAAAACATCTTCTGTTCAGTGGGTACCCAACCTCAAAGCGTGAGCAAAAAGTTCGTCACAAGGAGTAGATCACGTGACAAAGATGCTCTTCTCGCCCTACGGCAACTCGAAGCGGACCAACACTTCGATGCCATCAGAAAAGCAAAAAAAGACATGTTGCATTGGCCGGGAATCGAGGATTGAGCCTCAAAACTTCCTTATATAATTAATCTCAACCTCTTGTCAAGTCACGGCAAAGTTAGAAAAAACGACAAAGAGGCCTTTAATAGACCAGCAATTTGTAGTATCCATCAACGGCCCCTCTAGGTGATCCTATGTTATCAACTTAAACCTCAAAGACCCGTTAATACGTTGCAGTCAGTAAGTATATCAATGTAACTAATAATCGCAGACTTATCGCACGCAAACGCTCCTATTATAGACTAGAATGCGGCCTAAGTCGTTGATAGTTAGCAAGAGGCTAGGTAAGAACGAAACAGGTCAACCCTGTCGCAGCGATTATAGAACACGCTGCCTACTTAAAAAGTAGCCATCTCCCTAGTCGGGTTTAAAAAATCCAACAAAGCCTACTTATTGCAAGTATACCTTTAAGATGCAAAAAAGCAAGCTAAAGGACTTCTCGTTATATGCCTCTAAGCCGTTAAGCGCACTTAAGGTCTTACTGCTATTCAATGCCTTTAAGCCGTCAAAACGAACTTAAGGACTTTTCGTTAATAATCTGTTTAAGTGAGCATATTTAAATCAAAGATAAGAAGGGTAAAAAAACGAAGAGGAGTTAGCTAAACAGATTTACGTAAGAGCTTAAGTCAGTCTATAGCCTCTAGCTAAATAGCATAGAGTTGACGCTGCAGAGTCGCCTTTATTAAATCGCCTTCGTTGAGTCGCCTTCGTTGAGTTGCCTTTGTAGTAGAGTTGTAGAACCCTTAGTAGCCTAGGTTATGTAATTAAACTGGCGAGTTCTTTTTTACGTGCGACGCCTAGTCGCTAACGCCAAAGATCTTAAATGCTCTCACGGCTTCTTCGAACGAGATAATCTACGTAATGTTCCTATACTCGTTAGGGCCGTGCCTTGATAGCTAGTATTGTGTTGGGCGTACCCCGGCCTGGGAGTATACGAGTATACCTCGCCTTTGACTATTTCTGTCATGACTGGTGTGGACGTCTCCGTGTGTGGGTCAAGTCAAGTCCGCGGATAGCGGTGGGCACGTTTTGTGGCAGTAGCGGAGGCCTAGGTTAAGTTAGTATAAAAAGGATTTGCCCTTCTAATTTTTAGCTTGAAGGAATAAGAAGCTAGTAAGCCCTCTAATAAAGGTCAGAATGTGGGTTAAAGAAGCAACGACCTGACTACACCTCGCAGGTCAAGAGCACAAGAGTTTCAACGCTTTTCGGCGAAGCAGCAAGGCCCATAAGGGTCTTCTAATAGCCATCCTTCTAATTTCTAGCTTGAAGGGGTAAGAAGCCGATGAAGTCCCTCTGATAAAGCTTAGAATATAGGTAGAAGAAGCTTGTCGAAAACGTAGAGAATCGGTTTGGCTCGAATAATTAGACGAGGAGGGTAAAGCTGACTTAGACTGGGCGATCGACGAAGCCTCGATAAGTTAGTAGCCAGAACTACAACACGGCTTCTTCCTCTTCTTCTTCTTCTACTTCCCTTCTATTACCTCCTTATTCAACTTGCGGGGCTTCTAGTGCGAACACTATATCCCTAGTGAAAGAAGAATAAGGGAGGTCCTCTACCCACCATCTGGCGCTCGAGAAACCCCGGCAGCCTGAGTAATGTGCGTCATCAGATCAGAAAAAGCTTGTAGATCGGTCGGCCGGTCGTTCGCTCGTTCGGTCTTTCGCTTGTTCGGTCGGTCGTTCGGTCGTCGATGAGTTGGTTAATGAAGAGTGGTGCAAACTGCGGGGCGGAAGCATTTAGCTACGTGAGTGCCATGTTAGGCAAGAGCACAAGAACTTCAGTCTAGGGAGAGTGTGTAGTAATCACGATATATTAAGAGTATAAGATGAGAACTTTTGTGTATAGTAGATAATCATCTAATTTTATTCTTTGGCCTATCTACAGCTCTGCGACAAAAGTTTCGCAACGCTAGCCCTAGCCACTTCACTAACCACCAACTTGACTAAAACTTTGAACGCCCACCACTCTACTACTACTATATCAATTCGAATGCGGAGTACTTAAAAGATACCTCGCGGTCTAAATATGACTTTGGCGGAGCGAAATGTCGCAGTTGGAATGTTGCAGGGGGGTGTAACGCTATTAGAAGTCGCGGCTAAGTTTGGACGGGCTGCGTCCACCATCTACCGCCTCTACAAGGAGTATAATACCACCCGTAGCACTGATGATATGCCTTAATCTGGCTGTCCACTGATACTTTCGGACTGATAGAAAAAGATAGTACGCCGTATTGTTTGAAAAAAGCCAAAAAAAAATCTAATATAAATACCTCATGTCTGAGGCTGTCTTTATTACCTTAGATGGACTCCCTTAGAAGTGTCCGAGCCGCCGCACACTCTGCTAAGTACTTTCTACACTTAATATACGCAAATATTAGTGTAAGGGACGTCTAAAAGTGACCCTGATCTATGTCTAAAAGCGATACGCGTTCGCCCGTTAGTACTGGCAGTTTCCTTGGCATCGCCGCGTGGTTAAGTTCTTAGACGAGTGCTCTATTTGAAGGGATCTGGGCACGAACGCGAGTGGTGTTTCTGATATCCGCATGAGAAATGGAACAGCGATATGATATTAGAGGTCTGTCCTGAATAGGGCCTGTAGTAGATGGTGTGGGGGCGATATGGCTGGATAGACGTGGACGCCCTCGGCGGAGTCTATGCGTGATTATAGAAAGGGATATAGATGCTCCGCGCGGTGGCTACTCCAGCTAAAGTTACATCTAAACCCTTCGTTAGGGACTGCTCTCTTACTATCGGCCGTCTTAGATCTATGTGATAGATAACGCGCGTATATATACAAGTGATGCGACTCGTTAGTTTCTGGTAGATCACGGCATTATAACACTCGACTGGCCGCTCTACTCACCCGATCTTAACCCTATCGAGCACCTCTGGTGGGTGATTAAACGACGGATGTTTGATCTCTTTCTATAGTATAGTAATTATAGTAAAAGTTAAGAAGAGTAGCATGGGTTTTGCGCGGCTCTAAAAGAGTGCTGGCGGGCGATACTAGATGAGACTATTGCGGCACTCATCCACTTAATGCCGCGCCGCCTTAGGGCCTGTTACCGCGTGCGCAGTCGTCAAACAAAGTACTAGTCTAGACGAATATATCTATTCTTGATCCCAAAATTTTGTTTCACAAAATTGTTCCCGAAAGGCCAGAGCCAAACGACTTANGTCCGAATCGAACGTTGTGTGGCTGGGAAACCGTACCGAACCCGGGGCTAGCCGAAACTGTTCTCGAGGAGAGGTGGCAACGGCTAATTTTACCACTAAACCACCGATGCCATTATTGAAACAGTAGAGTCAAAGGATGTTTGGTTGATGACGATACAAAAGATTTTGGTATCCATATAGTAAATGTTTGATTCACTGCAGAAGAAGGTTATGTGCCGCATGACGATAGGACTGGCCCAGATCATGCAGATCATCTGTGGACCAACCGTTCATATCGCGCTTCCATGAAAATGACACTTTCACCTCGTTTCCTGGTCACTAGAAGGCTCTAAGGGCTGGCGTGTATGTTTGATTGTAATCCAAAAGAGGTCCCTCTATAGCTCTTAACTATGCGCGGAATATCTACGATGGCACATTATGTGTGGTTATTGCTCTACCTCCTCTTTCCGGTCATGGCTGGTGGACCAATCTTTCCATATAGTCCACTATACCGGGCGCCAAATCAAGGCTGACAAACTAACGGCGTGGGCGACCGGTCACTCTCAGCTTGTTCCGACACTTTGGTTGCACCGGTTCGTTTTTCCACCACAAACGCTAAATTAATGCAACAAAAATTGCGCATCAAAAATGCTGTTCGACGATGAAATCTTGCATCGCTTTGTGTGGCCCGGCAAATCATGCCTTCAGAGTACTGCAATCAAATCCTCTACATATTAGTAGTTATAGTATTATAAGCCTGTGGTGGCTCCACCATCCGCGACACTCCTCAACAAATGCGCAATATCCTCATAGCTACTGCACTCAGAAAGAGTGTGAGATTCATTGGATTTGTTCTCATGAAGCTCCCACAGTATCGGACAAATATAGCCTGCATTGTGTACACTGTATGCTAGAACTTGAACCAAGAACAATAGTGAGTTTTGGGAAATATTGCCTTACCACTGATGAAACAAGGAACAGTGAAGCTGCAATCTGGGAAGCCAAGATGTGTTGCATAATGAGGAACAGAAAAATTATGCAACAATTAATTTTCATTTTAACTGATCAACAAAATTCCCCCAGTATCATACTATATCCTGTGCTTGCACACCTCTTAGTATCGCCACAATAGTAGGGACACCTGTTCTCATTCGATAATAGTCATTGCAGACAGTTACCAGCGCGAGTTAGCTCTCCCCAACCTTATGACAAGACTTGCTTGAGCACCTTGCGATTAACACCATGTGGCCTATGTCCGTCAGCTTTGCTACGTCAATAAAGTAATAGTATGTACAGGAGATCCCAGATCGACAAAAGAAGAGTCCAAGCCTCGATAAACGTCGTGAGTGACTTTGAAACCTAAATATTGATGATGATCGCAGGTATACTCGACACACTTATGATTTTTGTCTTGCAAGGTTACGTTTGTGGCATTGAGGAAAATTCAAGATATACATGATGTAGCTGCCAACCATAAGCCGCACTTGTCCCTAGGATACTAGTCAGCAAAGCACTTGTTAGATTTGTATGATTTTTCTCCATTGTGGGACCTCTTCTCTTTATAAGAAGCTTCATCTCTGTATAACATAGCATTACATAATCGATGTTCTTTTTGGTTATTGTGGTAGTAAGGAGAGCCGCTGTGCTTGATAGCCGGATTAGTGCGGACCAGAGGAGCGCTTGCGCTGTCGATAGTGAAAAACGCTGTCATAAACATCACATGTATGTGTAGCTACGACAAAGGAACACATTGTTGTCCAAATGGTCACTAGGTCTACTTATATAGTTGTTTGACCTCCCAACAAGCTTGGCAAAGTCACGAGCTAGTTCCACCATTTGATTTCCTCGATATGTGCTCACTAATTATCATAGATCTCCTGGCAAGGTGCTGGTTGGTGAATATGTGCTTGGAGCAGCTGGTCGGTCCGGCTCTTTCTTTCATATATGTGACTGAGTTTAATAGGAACTGAGAAGCTTAAGAAGTATACTCCACCACATGTTATTTGTGCGTTCTTAGTAAGGGGATGACGAGTAAGTTCTGTATGGCACAAAGAATGTTCAATCCAACTGTCTGCAGCATGGTGTAATTTTCCAGGTATGTCCATAGTCTATGGCTACAGAGAACTCTGCTCCATTCAAGATTAAGCTCAAAACAACCATTAAAAGAACGTAGCACTGCTCTCAATTGTTGCTTGACGGTAAATTGGCGACTAGAGCGTCTCTTCTCCGTCGTATATGAGAATCTCAGGAGGGAAGCCTCGCTGGTGAGTATACGAGATATACTAAACAAAATCACATTCTGCCATAGGTCTTCACTTACAGTCGACAAAAGTTGTCTCTGATTGTGGTGCAGTTTTGTGAAGGCACGTCTGCAACAATATTCCCAGAATGTAATACAATCTTGCGACAGGATAGAGATGGTATTTAGAGTTTTCTCGAAAATAACATGTAATGAAAACACCCAATATAACCGTACATGAGAAGTTTTCACGCAAACTTATTGTCATTGTCGTGCCAGTTTATGGTGAAACGCATTTTTTCACTTCTGCACTGCAGTATTCCTCTTCGGCCTATTGGCGATTTGATCCCTTACATGCATACTACCTCATGATCTCGTGAGATGTGGACGATGTTTGGCGGCTACCAAAACACTCCATAGCTGGCAAGATTATTGCCGCGCTCACTCTACGTCGCCTACGACTGTAAAGTCTGGTTTGTTCCAAATGTTGAGCCGATCTCGCCCCATTTAATTTGGCTAAAAGTGACAGTGGGGTTCGTCACCTTCTGCTGAATAGCATCAGGAAAATCCTCCGCAGGGCTGCAAGGTCCATTTAGCCCACCATCAAGCCACTGCATCCCCCCGTTCTTGTCCCACCATAAACTGAAAGTAAGGACCATTCCACGGGCAAGAGCGTCGCCCATAGTCTTGTGGCCACCGAATTTGTTGTATTCCCTAGCACGAGCCTGAGCCGAGCACCAGACTTGATCCATAGTAGTGTTTGACATAGCGTTCTCGATAACGACACCATCCTGAACATATTTTCGAATAATAGCTTGGAGAACACTGTACTTCTGTGGGAATTGAGTAACAACAGTAAAAGGCCTAGTTGTATCAACTTTGAGACCAGGTCCATAGAAGTCCTTGGAGTTTCGGAAGTTGTAAGCATTGTCTCCACAGCCAGTTTTTCCACAAACACCAGCTACGCCGCAATCGTCGCCAGTGCATCTAATCACACCTTCTTTGGCGCACACATGGGGTGCAATCTGGTTTGCCCGACTGTTAGCCTCCCAAATGTCCATTTCGTTGCAGCATGCGCCTTCCTTGTCGATGTTGGCCTACAGAGAGTTAGCCGTTGCTCGACAAGACCGTGTTACTTAAACATGCTTACTTCACCGTCTAGGAATGGCTTGACAGAACACTGTGCATCACAGTATCCCCACCCCATATTGGCACCTGTGGGGTTCAATTTCGAACGTCCACCATCGGCCTTCATCTCATTAAGATACAAGGCGCTGTTCATACCACACGGGAGCTTTGACATGTCAACGTCGAATGAAAACTCCTGGCCATTCAGTTGCAACATCTCATAATTTTCTTTGTCTTCGCCTAGCAAGTACACCCTGGGGCTCATATACTCGCCGCTTGGGTTGAACATACTTAGACGGAGCTTTCCACCATCAGTAAAGACTGCTTGTGTTGAATAATCCTGAATGCCTTCGATGACGCAGTTCTGGGCGCATGTCGCTTTGTCCGGACACACCGTTAGGTTGAGCGGGTTATTTCGATCGCCGCAGCTTGAAGTCCCACTCGAATCAGATTTCGGGTGGACCTTGTGTCTCAAAGAATCAATGACAATTGAAGTGTCCAAAATCTTGCATCCACCAGCTTTTGTGCATTTCCAGGTTGATAGCTTTGGATGCACTTCAGGTGTGGTCCCCATCGTTTGGGCGGTGGCTAGGCCCAAAAGGGTTGCTGCGAAAAACAATGGTGCCATGTTGAGGGGTTTCGAGAAGAACAGACGCCCTTCTCGAGAGAAACGGCAATTGGTAAATTGTTTGAGATGATTCGCTATACATTTTATGCTTCTCAGTAGTGCTACCGGGACGGGAGAAGTGCCTAGAGGCTCGTGTTTAAGCGTGTGTGTTAATATAAGCTCGGATGTCATCGGCGCATTGTCATGAGTTCTGTTGACGCACGCAGTTGGTGTATACCACTAAATGAGGACATCTCCTAGCCTTATTCGTATGGTGTGCGCTGATGCAGGCCACTGTAATATCCTAAAAGTATGAAGTAGTCTAAGTGATCCATGATATCAACATCTGGGGCAAGTCATTCATCCTAGCCAGTGACATGCGTGTCGCCGGGATAAATAGAGCTTAATGCCAAGAGCTTGGTTACTACTAGTACTAGGGGTTACTGTTTCGGATAGAAAACGGGATCTTCAACAACTGCGTCTTGAATCAGTCGCGGATTGCAACCACAGTACGCCCGGAGTGGCCTCATCTGATTGATGAGAAACTGCTTGTGTACAGGAATTTACCAACATGCGTCCAACCTTCCCCAACTCCTTGTGCTAGACACCGGAAATTTCTTGTCTTCCTTCAAAGACACCAGCCGCTCGTAGCACTACTACGTTGCATGTCACGGCCTGAGACTACTTGCGAGCCCAGTAGTGAGAACCAGTGCATTAGATACCACGGTGATGTGCTGTCCCGCAAACGTATTGGGCCATGCTGCTGTCAGTAGGAGATCACCAAGATCATGCCCAGCACCATTAATTAGCAAGCACGCGTGATACGATGGCTTATGAATGCATTACTGGTCGTATGCAGCCACTCCTTTCTTTTACATAACGCGATGGCTGATGCGGCATGACGGTTGAATGAGTTAAACTTTGGATATTACGAAAATGCGCAAAAAAAGTCCTATGCTCCAAATTGCACATATCTTTGTTCCTAGAAATCTACAAATCATCGACGAAATCAAGTAGTCTTCCTGACACCAAGTGAACAGACGAGAGATTTGCAGTAATGGAGAACGTCATACTCAAAGTCAACAAGAGTGATAAGTTCCAGCACTCGTCCTTGGACAAACTTAGTCTCAAAAACATCACGGAGAATAAAATTTACCGTGTTTGATCATGCTTGCTGCAGTTCGTCCTTTAGGCCAGGAAATATGGAAGTACCAAAGTCTTGCAGACCTTTTGTGGGTCAAGGCGAGTATTGTACTACGCACTAGTGTTGAAGCACAAGATACATCGGCATGCTTCGAAATAACCAATCAGTATGGTCCAGAGAAGACCTTGAGTTTGATGCGCAGAGAACAATGCTGTTCACAGTGTACCTATATAGGAACAAGAATTTCTCATGTGTGTTGTCCATAATCTGGCAATCTAGAATCAGAGCCACGATACATATATATACATAGTATACTATATGGTTGAAAAATAAAACAAGTAGGCAGGTACCTGCGGAATCGCCAATCAGATTGACAGTCGCAAGGATAAGCTTTGAGTGTTCTAGTCAGTCGATCCTACACAATGCCGGCGTCAATAAAGTAGAAGAGCCATCTAACCACCAGTCCAAGTCCCTGTAGTCACAGGTATTCGGCTGCAAATCACATGAGCATACACCTGCACCGGGCTCGGCGGGTGCACTAACAAACGCACAGACCACGCACACAGAATTTCGTTAGCGAGCGCAACCCACCTGGCGAACTTCACGCAGCTCCCGACAACTTCAGCGACGACGCACCCGAAACCCGCCAAACCGAATATCCCCCCGATAATCATCCAAAATGTCTGGAAAGCGCGGGTATGTTGTTCTCCCGGCTGAAGAGGCGCAAGAAAAACCCTCGAGACGCTGTCATGTGGTGAAATAGTGGCTAACGCGCACACAGTCGAGGTTCTACCTCCGGTAACAAGCTCAAGATGACTCTTGGTCTGCCAGTGTACGTTGAAGCCCGCCGCGACCGCTCCGCCGAGCCTGCTCCCGCCTGCGATACGCCCAGAGAATACAATGCAAGGAATGAAGACTAACGGACATGTAGCGGTGCTGTCATGAACTGCTGCGACAACTCCGGTGCCCGTAACCTGTACATCATCTCCGTTAAGGGTATCGGTGCACGTCTCAACCGCCTGCCCGCTGGTGGTGCCGGTGACATGGTCATGGCGACCGTCAAGAAGGGAAAGCCCGAGCTAAGGAAGAAGGTCATGCCCGCCGTCATTGTCCGCCAAAGCAAGCCCTGGAGGCGGGCGGACGGAATCTACCTGTACTTTGAGGACAACGCCGGTGTCATTGTCAACCCCAAGGGTGAAATGAAGGGCTCCGCCATTACTGGACCCGTCGCCAAGGAGGCCGCTGAGCTGTGGCCGGTATGTACAAATCACGATTACCAAGATGCTTTGCTAATCATGCCCAGCGTATCGCCTCCAACTCCGGTGTCGTCATGTGAGGTGTCTCTTTTCCTGCTTTCGATAACATTCATGGGTTTATGGGCACGGCGAAAATGCATTTACGGGGTGAAGGAATTGGGCGACGACATTGCGGCTATGATTAGCAATGGGACGACCTTCACAATACCAGTCAAATGAACATTACGACCAAACCACAACCTGTACCCCGACCTCCAGTGATGGATGTATGACTCGACTTGACTCGCGACCTGAAAATGACAATGTGGATACTGGCTAGAGATATTTGACAAAAAAGATTTTTTATGCTGACTCACCGCCAGACGTGGAAATATATGTACTGAATCGTAGAACTCTTAGAATCGGGGCTCGTCACCGGAGCACAAACTCCGATCGCATGCCAACATCTTGAACTCGGTCTCCTCAACAACCTCTTGCGCCCACCTCATCTGTATCATACTCTTGGCCTCTTCTGAGCGCTTCCTTCCACCGACAAACTGTAAATTCTCGTTCCCAACCACACCCGTTGTCACTACGCCGGTGCTAGGCGCACCAATTCCCTTGACCGCACCATTGCCACCCTGCATTACACTCGCGTAGCTCGAAGACATTGTTTGCACACCAGAAACAAAGTCCAAACCATCAAATTCGCAGTGTCCGCCAGCAGGTGTGTTGTCTACAGTTTGCAGCTGATTGATCTGAGCCGCCGACAAACCTGCATCGGATGCAAGCTGCTCGTACGCTGCTACAGCCTGTGGGATACTGCCTTGAAGCAGCTGGAGCTCGCTCTGTGTAGACTGGTAATGAATTCTAGTCTGGCTCATGACGGTGGCCGCATTTTGAAACTGGACTTGCGGGGGCATGCCTCCGCAGTTGAGCTCAACGGCACTGTTTGGGTAGTTTTGCATTTGTGCTGGGATGAAGAAGCCGCTCATCATAAGACTACCTCCGCTGACACCTGTGAATACAATGTTCGACATATTGACTGCAACGCGCTGGGGTAGCTCAGTTTGGATGAAGTCGTTGACTGCCTGCGCATGTGCTACACCGTCTGTTCGCTGTAGACCAGCGCCTCCACCCCAGAAAAGATTGTCGTCAGGCGCGAGAAGGGCGACTCCCATAGTGTTGGCCTGCACAGCCTGGTTTGGCATGTCGAAGAAGCTTTGTCCTCCATCGCCATGGAGCAGGACGTTGGCCCCCAAAGTTCCGTTTGAAGATGTGGCTGCTGCACCAGGTACACCTGAAGCTGGAAGGAATTGATCTGCCGGAGCAGAGATCTTGAATCGTATAGGAAGATTGTTGACCATCACAGTATCATCCAAGATCGTGGACCCATCGGTAGCTTGGGAGATGCCCTGGGGGATCTGAGCAGCTCGTTGAAAGGCCGTCGCTTGTTGGCCGTTGCCACGATTTCCGCCTCGGTTTCGCTGAGGCAAAGCAGATGTGAGGCCGAGTAGAGATAGAGTGATGAGCTTGTACATTTTGGGCTGCGTTAATGTTGATGCGAACCGTAGATCGGACGAAGAAATAAAAAATTAATTATGAAACGGTGGACCGGCCAAAACGAAGCAAAATGTAAAGGCAGCAAAGCAGTACCGCACGGCAGTATACAGGAGACAAAGGAAAAGACTATGGGGGAATCTAGTACATCTATGTATGTGACGATGCACCTGCCTCATTGTCGCGCTCTAGACTGCTTCGCATTCTAAACACATATCCACCTAGCCAAGCCTCGCCAAGTAGCTCCATCTTGCCCGTAAAGAACCTAACAGTATAGGCTCTGATGTTTGCATTGGTGCATTCATGGTCAAATAAGTGGATGCTGGTGTTTGATGCGCCGAGGCTGCAGCACGTGTGGTTTGAAGTCTCGGGGGTTGCTGCCGGTCATTATGTTTCGAATATGCGCTCGGTTGCTCGTGCTTGTAACGTGGGCTGAGGCTTGGAGGATAGGCTTATCTGGGCTTAGCCGGCGCTTTGGAAGGTCCTGATTAGGCTGGAGTTTCACCTTCGTGCCTTGTCGCTTGGAGAGGTGCGGGACGGAGGACAAGGGGGAGCGGTGCGATGGGGTGAAAGGGTGGTAACGGGGTAGTATGGACAGGGGTCTGTGCTATGCTCGCCTTGTAGGATTGAGTGTCTTGCTCTACAAGATGATGAATTCAAGGCTAGAAATTGGGTTTGTTGTTTCTGGTTGCTTACTACTATTCTATCGTCACACAGGCAGCTTTCGAGAACTTCAACGTAACGTTGCTCGTGTCATTTGTGAGCATGGTTTCGGAAACAGCAAAGGATCATGTGCAAAACATCGAGGAGACTACAATAACCAGTCGCAGGGTAACACTCAAATAACACCATACATATTGTGCAAGAAAATTTTCAGATCCCCAAACGCAGAATCCTTTGGAGACCAATACTACAGGACTCACAGCTTGGTACTCTCGGCTCAATCGTACTACCCCGCATCATACCCCACACCAGGAGGCAAGACTAGGCGGTAGATACATCGCGAGCATTTCTGACATTCATCACAACAAATTCTATCTGACAGCATATCGTTCCGACAATTTAAATATGTAAAAAAAAAACAGGAAACTTACCGTACAAGGCAAATAGGCCGGATCCTGCCCACACTTTGTAGTAGACATAGAGGTATTGACATGCATGCGTGAAAAGTCGATTTTCTAACGAAGTCGAGTCATCGTACATGGCATTGGCTGAGTCTTATTACCTTCACGGACTGATAGCCTGTAGATCGTACTTGTTGGATGCGTAATCATATATAGATGGTCTGCCGCATCTTTCCGTGACATGTGGGGCCATAAACCGAAGAGAGTATACAGCTCAGTCGTGAAATAATTGAACGGATGAAGTTGAACTGTAAATGGGATTATATTTTCTCTTGAGTTAGAGATAGCAATAACGCCATCATGTCTCCTCAAAGAATCAACGTGGCTCGTCCCAAAGAGGTCTACGACTATATTTTTTGTGGGTAAAGGAATTTCATTTTCCATAGATAAAGCCACACATGATGGGAAAGTTTGCAAATGAAGTATCGGCTTACAATCGTCAGTGGTGGTACGTCTGGTTGCGTGATAGCAGGCCGTCTTACCGAAGACCCCAACGTAAAAGTTATGGTAGTATTGGAAGCGGGACCTGACAGTGAAGATCTAGAATATGTTCACATGGCAGGAGGGTAAGTTGGATTTTTGCTTTCTGGTAAGTTTTACTGAGCTGGCATGCAGATGGACCAACAGCTTCGACACTGAGCTGGACTGGAAGATCGTTACAGAGCCCCAGGACAAGATTAACAATCGTCAAGTCAAAGATACCACAGGTCGTTTTCTTGGCGGTACAAGCGGCATTAATGGTAGTACTGTGTGTATCTGCTGGACAGAACAGGATTATGCCGACTGGGATTTGGACGAGTAGAGTACTGATGCGATGTTCGAGTATATGAACAACCTCCATTCAACTTCGGGGGTTTATATGGATTGACCTCAAATTAGGCAGAAACATTCCACTCAAAGGATTGGCACAGAGCTGACCTTTCAGTCCATGGGACATCGGGTCCCCTTCGCACAGAACCACAAGACCTAGCACCCATTTCAGAACTCGTGCGGGAAAGCCTGGTGGAATAAGGACTCCCATATTATCCCGAGATGTTTTCCACTGGAGAAACAGCACATGGATGTGGTGATGCTCCGCGAACGGTGTATCAAGGTATTCGAACCATGGCCGCAGACTTCATTACCAAAGATCGCAAACGAGACAACATTATGATCAAAACCGAGGTGACTGTTGACAGAGTCATCTTGAGTCTAGACAGGGATGAGATTACTGCAACAGGTGTTGTTAGTATTTTGAAACCGGCTAAAAGATCAAATACTTGGCGAGAAAAGAAGTCATAATTGCAGCAGGTGCATACTGCAGTCCAACAATCCTTATGCGTTCAGGAATCGGACCAAAAGACGAACTAGAAAAAACAAAAATTTGACGAGGCAGCCATTCTTCCCGGTGTCGGCAAGAACCTCATGGATCACGTTGTATGTTCCCGTCTCTATGTAAAGTATGCATCCACTTACCCACACACTCTCAGCTCTGCTTATGTTCTACGAAGTCTCACCTCCAAACCTAACAAACGACCACCGCGTCTACCACGGCAGCGCCATGGAAACTACCTACAAACTTTGGAAAGACAAGAAAACCGGCGTACTCTCCAGCATTCCCTTCGGTATTTCAGCTGGGCCCGCCTCGACTCGCGCCTCGCCTCTCCTTTCCCCCCCNCCCCCCCAACCTACTGGGCCGCGACCCCATGGGCCTGCTACCCACACAACCCAACGTCGAGTTCTGGAGCATGGAATTGTATTGGGGCCCCAAACAATTTACCGACTATCCTGTAGACGATAAGCACGCGTTTGCCATGTGAGTGTTGCTATTTAATCAGCATAGCAGGGGCAGTGTGAAACTTAGGCCGAAAGATGCACGAGAGAACCCGATGGTGGATCATAAGTACCTGGAGCATCCTATCGATATGCTTGTTATAAGTGAGGTGTGTCGGTTTGCGAATGAGGTTGTGATGGAGGGGGATGCGACGAAGGGTGTGGTTAAGACGAGTTGGCCGGAGTTGAGGCATTATGAGTACACGGAAAGGGAGGAGTGGGACGAGTATGTTAAAGAGCATGCTATGAGTTGTAAGTCATGTTCTGCTTGTGTGTTTGTTTCGTGGCCGGATCTAATCGACTTCTGTCTAGGTTACCACCCTTCGGGCACTTGCGCGATGGGTAGATCAGATGATGTGAATGCTGTTCTTGACTTTCGGCTTCGCGTACGTGGCGTTCGGAACCTGCGTGTTGCGTATGTTTCGTCAGTACCAAAGGTAAATAACGGACATATCCGCAAATGGTGGCGTGTGGGATTGGAGAGGGGGCTGCGGAAATGATTGAGAGGACGCAAGAGATGGCGAGCACCTGGCAAGTCGAGCAATGATGTCGCGCCTTTGAATACCTGTTTCAGCAAATTGAAGGTCTACAAGGTACTCATCTTCTCAGAATAACCATGGTTGTATTGCCTGAATCTCCTTTTGACTCTATCATTCCCTTACGCACTCTGCATCATTGAGACCTTGGCACCAGTTGTATTATTCAACTTACCAATACTCTGTTGCAATTCACCTACTCACTAAAACTGGTCTCTTCTCAGCACTTCAGTCACACCGTGCAAATAGTCCGAAGCATGCTCTGGCGTATTCCGATAGTATCAACAGATGCAACCAACAACTCTAGATCCGTCGCTTCCTAACTTCACTAACCGAAGCCTTTCTAACAATCGTGCTGCTGTACAGAATGGTCTCCTTCTCACTGGATTCCACGTCGCTTTTATCCAACCTTACAGGCTTCGTTTTTTCTTCTACTCGCTGCAAAGCTGGCAACTGCTCCACTGCTCGGGCAACAACCGCACCAAGCAGGGCAATGACCAACACCAAATCCACAATATGAATCCCCCACCACCAGTGTTGGACACCAAGCCCGCACGTACTAAACTCAAACACCCATTCACCCCTCTCGCCCTTTTGCTCGTCGAACCAGGCAGATAGGAAACCCGCGTAGCCAGAGTACTCGCCCATCATACTGCGCAGCGTGATCTCGCGGATGTGAGGGGAAGCGTTGATGTCAGTACATTCGTTGTCGGGCGTGATTTCGTAACGGCGGTGCGGAAAACGGCGAGCGCGCCATGTCGGTGTTGGAGGTTCTGGTGTAAACGTTTCTGTAGGCTCAGAAGACTCAGTGGAAGTTTCAGACGCAGCATTCATATCAGGCGGTGTGTCTTGCTCAACAGTGTCGTTGGCAGCGACTACGTTGATATCCGAACCACCAATATCCGTTGGTGTAGTGATCATGGTTTCGTTAGCAGCCCTAGTCAGCCAGTATGCATCTTCCTCCATGATCGCTTCCGGTTGACACGTATCCTCGACGCCGCGTTGCCGGATGTAATGTACGACATCACAACCAGCGTGATCATGTCCATTGACAATAATGCCCCTTCTTCCCATTCCTAGGCCAGCAACGTACCTCTTCCAGCTCATGCCAAAGAGACTTTCCAAGACTGTTCTACTCGAATGGTCTGAAAGCATGTTCTGCTCTTTCAGTCCATGCCCGCTTTCAAAAAAATCAAAGTAAGGACTGTCGACGCATATGCCATCTTCTTTTTCCAAAGGAATGTGCGTGAGGAGGATGGTCGCATGCGTTTTGTCATTGACGGGAAGCGAATTGGAGATGATGTAGTTTAGGAAGTCGTACGTTTCGGTCTGTAGATCCGGAGACCAAGCAGGCGTGTCCAGGTTCATGGAATTCAGGATGACAAGGCGGAGGGTTGGTGGTCTGTTGGGATGTCGTCTCGATACATCGGCCGTTTCGTTGGAGCGCAGTGAATCGGGCAGTGTAAACCAAATGTCCCAGTTTACACTACCAAAGGCTCGCTCGAACCGTTCAATGCGCGACTGATCGATATCTCCTGCATATCCAACATCGTGGTTTCCTGCGATGTTGATTACGCGCTTCTTCCAATCTGTGTCCGCGCCAAGGATTTCTTTTGTGCCACCCCAATATGCTTTTCGCTCCGGCTTCTCTTCCTGATGAGCTGTTGCTTCTGCCCCTTCGTCCCCGCTTTTATCCTCTTGTTCCACAGTTTGATGCATAGTCGGCTCTGCTCCCTCGGAATCTCTGCCTATGCTCTCTTCTTCTTGTTCCGCATTCTGTTCTACAGCTGGCTTCGTTGGCTCCTCCTTGGGGGACTCGGGCTCAACACCAAAGACGGCATCCGGCACTTTCTCCAGTCCCCTCATGACGGTGTTCCAGTATCTTCCTGCACGTTTGCTGAACTCGCCATCAGTAACCCATTGGCTCCCGAGCAAGTCTCCCAGCACACTGATGTGCGTTGGATGAGTCCACCACCGCAAGCTCCTCACAATATGCGCCAAATAGCGATCATTTCCCCAAAGATCAACTTCCTTTCTCTTTCCCTCTAGCCATTTCCGCGCGTTTTTCACAATGCCCCTGGCGGCTTCTTTTGTAATATCGATCCTCTCAGCAAAATCTTCCGCATCGCGCAGATCAGTCACAAGGAACTCGACAGATGGAAATATGAGGGCGTTGGGATCAGGCAACGACGAGTCGCCTTCGAGTTGCGGGTCACCGAGTGACAGGAGGCGAAAGGGCGCAAGGGGTTGCGGATGTGTAGATGGTGGAGTGGGGAACGCGCAGCCATGGAAGATTGGGTACAAGTACAGCCATGTTGTGCCGATGAACGCTACAGGAAGCAGCAGCAATGCGATGCGAATAAGAAACCTCGAGATCTGCATTGAAGCATGCTCGGACAGTGAGAAGAGATGAGGCTGTTGTCTCCCATGTTGTGCCTCAGGATGGATCCTGGCTGCAGCAGGGTAAGCTCGAAATACTATTAGGTGCGCAGGGGTACGGCACCACCGCAGCCAATCGAGTCGCTGCATTTGCGGGGAACCAACATGGCACACAACATAGGTTCTGTGTGGCACATACACGCCCAAGGGCTCATTATAGGCTTGCAAGCCAGTTGCAATCAAAGATCGGCTCTTCGTACATTTCAATGGTCTACAGTATCAACCTTACCACCCCATCGCAGTGCGCCTCCATTTTGTACCCCAACGCCAGTCGTGGATGGATGATGCATACGATGGCATCGCTCAGCCCAACAAGTCACCTAGGGCACCACTAGGCTTAGAGCCCGACTGCGGTGTTTGGGCAACAGGTGTACTAGAAGCAGAAGATGCAGGAGCTCCCCATAGCCCTTGGGACGTCTTTTGCTTGGCCAAGTCACCCATAGTGACCTTTTGCGTGGGAGTAGAAGCCTTCTTAGGTGCAACCCCACCAAGCAACGAGGCGAAGGCATCACCTCCAGCTTTCTTGGGAGCAGCTCCACCTCCAATGCGGCCACCTGAGGCCATGGCAGATGGTGTCGAAGCTCCTGACTGAGGAGCGGGCTGAGGTACAGATGTGAAGTAGTTTGGACCTGTTGCCTGGTATCCAGATGGCTGAGGCGGCTGAGAGATGGGCGAAACCACAGATGGTGGACTGCTCATTTTATTTGCAACAGGTGGTGGAGAGACTGTGGCAAACAAGTTGTTCAAGTTGTTGTTTTGTGAAGCAGACTGAGCTTGTGGTGCGGCAAATTGGGTCGAGGAAGTGATGGTGGATGTAGACGCTGGAGGGGCCATGTTGAACGCTGCAGCAGCTGGTTTGGCTGCGGGTGCCGCAGGTGCTGCAGACTGGAAATCGTCGAAATCATCGTCGTCTCCAAAGTCGTCATTTGCAGCGGCAACAGGCTTCTTTCCAGCGGAAGTTGAAGCTGGCGCAGGCTCGTCATCCCAAGCCAGCAGATCGACCACTGGCTCAGGCGCCTTCGCCTTCGGCTCCTCTTTCTTGACCTCTTTTCGGCTTGCTGTGGGTTCTTTTCTTCGTGCAGGTGCAGGGCTTTCGCTTTCCCCTTCGTCGTACTCGTCGTACTCGTCGAATCGCTCACGTCGCTGTTGGGTGTCTGCGAAGCCTGACTGATTGCCCCCGAAGCCACCGCCATCGCCATATACTTCTCCTCTGTAACCACCATAGTCTGCCGACTCGCTGCCAAATCCACCATATCTGCTGCCTCCACTGCCCCCAGAGAAGCCTCCACTTCCGGAGAAGCCGCCCATGCCCGCTCCACCTTCGACGCCGCCAAACTTGTTCCGGTTCGCGCGGGCCTTCTTGCGCTCGGTTCGGATACGGTCAACATCACTGAGGAGCTCGGCCAGTTCTTTGGCACGGTTCCGTACATTAATGCCCTGGTCTTTGCCGTTTTGGTCGATGTAGTGGAACTGTCGCAGCATCTTGAGCAGTGACACATGAGAACGGGCATCATCAATCACTCGCTCTGAGCCGTGTTTGATCAGGTATTCGAGGAGTTGCAAAGCCTAGACTATCAGCTTGTGTGGTGCCATTGAGCGTCTGAAGTACCTTGTAGATCTGTCGCCACTCTTCCGAAGCCTTTTCTGTGAAACGCTTGTAGATCATGGGCATAATCTCATTGAGTAGTTGGCTGCGCTGTCAGCAGCACTCTTTGGACCTCTGGTAAACAAGACCTACTAGTTGAACGTCGCATTGGCAATCTCCTGTAGTGCAGTCGAGGAGGCACCTTGCTGGCCATTAGCAACCGCTCATACGATGCGCAAAAGCTGCTTACCCCACGGTTCGTTGTTTGTGGCCTCGCGCACCTTGGCCTCCATCTCCGTGTAGTTCATGACCGCTAAGCAGCATGTCAGCGATGGCCAGCTGGCTTCTCTCTTGGGGGCGCACCATTTTGGGCTTTGCGGAATCCAGCCTTGAGGTCGTAGAGCGTTAGATTGCTCACTTGGTCTTTCAAGCTGCTCAAATCCATGACTGTGGCTGTTGGGCGCGTTGTTGGGAGTTGTTTGTCGACGTGTGTGTGCTGGTATGGGGGGTGGAGACAGCTTGGGTACTGATGGGCTCGGTATAGCGGACCCCCGAGAGCGCCCTTGCAAACGCCGGTAGGGGCGAGGATGTCACAGAAGGTTCAACGAGGCAAGGCAAGCTTTTAGGGTCTTTGACAAGCAGCCTCAGTGCATGTGCAGACCCTGAAACTGATTATATGCCCATTTGCCCAATCTGGCGCAATCCCGTTGTATGGCCGAATGGCCTCTGAGGTTGTGCCATGGACACACGTGACAAGCTCTTGGCTCTTTCGAGCGCCTCCCAGCACGAACACAGGTTTGTCCATGAATGCAGAGACGCACAGGTCGCAGACTCTTCTCCGCACATGGCTGTGACAGACACAAGGGCCCCGTCTGCAACGGCTGTCTGGGGGAGACCCACCAGTAAGCAGATGGGCTCTGAATGGTATTGTAAGTAGTAGTTAGCAATGCATCCGCCGAATCGGGGAACGCGCTAAAGTCCGCTTAAGCCTGAGGTAAGTAGGATCCAAAGTTTTCTATCCCATCTGCCATTCGCCTGCTCCGCCAGCGACTTCGCATCAGCGTTTGCCATCATCTGTACTATATTTGTCTCTATTTCATACGTCTGGTTGCATAGCCGTGTCATTGAGCATTCTCGCCGCATATTCGCCACCCCCGCGCACCGCCGTTGATTGTGCAATTGCAAGAGCCGCTGGTCGTCCGTGTCGAGAACCATAGCTACCGTAAGACAGGGCCCTTTTCAGCCTCACTGCGCTTCAACCTCCAGGTGCCACGCACCTGTTGCGTCACAGGCAAAACACGCTGTTATCTCACCACGATTCACCGCCAAGGCACATGGCACTGACTACCTTTCAGGTTAGACGCTACACCCCGCGTCTGCATCATGCCCCACCTACCTCGAGCCTCTGCTCTATCTGCTTTCCGTGCAGCTCCTCAATTCCGCGCCTCCGTCCATAAACGCTTCTTCACTCCTTCGGCATACAACATGGCCATCAAAGCTTACTTCGATTGCACCTGGAAGGGCCCCGTCGTCGAGGTTGACAACACCGGAAAGGTCACAAAGGTCGGCCAGGTCGAAGGTAGCTACTCCTGCACCCCAGCTGTCGGCACATGCCTTTGTGCAAACAGCCCAAGTGTCTAATCAGTCGCTGACCATGACACCCCAGAACAGTCTGGTCGCATCAACTTTGACCTTTTCGACGACGTAGTTCCCAAGACTGCCGAAAACTTCCGCGCGCTGTGCACTGGCGAGAAGGGCTTCGGCTACAAAGGCTCCAAATTCCATCGCGTGATCCCCAACTTCATGCTCCAAGGTGGCGACTTCACGCGCGGCAACGTACGTGTCTGGTTGCGTGTACTCAGAGGCAGCTGACTGACATATTGCAATGCAGGGCACGGGAGGCAAGTCCATCTACGGTGACAAGTTCGCCGATGAGAACTTTAAGCTTCAGCACGACCGACCATTCCTCCTCTCCATGGCCAACGCCGGTCCCAACACGTATGTCACAGGCACATTTGTATGCCAGGGTGGAGCTGACAAACTATAGCAACGGTTCCCAGTTCTTTATCACAACCGTCATTACCTCATGGCTCGATGGCAAGCATGTCGTATTCGGCGGCGTCCCTGACGGCGATGTCGAGTCTTACAAGGTTGTCCGAGCCATCGAGGCATGCGGATCTGACAGCGGGGCTATCAAGGACAAGAGCAAGCCTCCCACCATTGTTGCTGCTGGCATCCAGTAGACGTGTAGCGTATGTCGTAATGGGCTGGTGAGGACTTGAGATGGCTCGAAATGGACTTTCGCTTCTGAAGTAGGCATCGTCGATGAAAGTGTACGATCAACCCGATAGCTATGAATGGAATGACAAATGACACAGTAATTTCCATTTGACCTCTCTGACTCTATCTAGTAGTGAATGGTTTCCCCGACAGTCTCAGCGCATCCGTTCTTCGGGATAAATTTTGTCGCGAGTGCGGGGCAGTTTTACCCCGCACTCGTCATCATCTCAGTGTGGTGTTCGTGACGCAAGATGTACAGGACACAGCTGCTCTTGACAGGTGCGTGTTTATGCGTGTGTGTGTGCGTGAGTGAGAGAGAGTATCAAGTACATGTAAAGCTTGAAGCGAGACATTGAGAGAACAAGGTACCCACTCAATTGCTATCACACAGGGTTCGCATAGCCGCTGCTGCTCCAAGCTCTCCACCTCTTGCACATGCAAGTTACCCAACAGCACAACGGCCCTGGTTGGTATGAAATCATTGGGCGTAGCTCCACTATGGTGGCGGCTATGGCCATTCTAGCACGCGTGGCCCGCAATTCTGCCGCATAGGGCGCGATGTCGACATTCCGTGGAAATAGTCATATTGATATCGTCGGCGTTGACTTTTAAAATCCTGCCCCCGCAGTCGTTACGCTCGATATTGGATTTAGGAACAGGCTGAAGGCTTCCTGGCCACAGTTGCCGTGGTAATTGCTTTCATTATTGATGAGATATTTGTTCAATAGCACAAAATGCCTTCATATCACGCCTCGACTTATGGCATTCATGCCGACGACCGCATCAATGCGCTTACCGATGTTGCCCCGCCAATTCATACGTCCACCACGTTTCGCTATCCACGCAACCCAGACAAGCTGCAGCCTGTTCCTGACGAGGGCGAATTCGTGGATCTGCAAACACCGCTCGTGTACTCGCGTCTCGCATCATCCAGTACCAACCGTCTGGAGATCATACTAGCGCCTTTAATGTACCCCGATGCTACGGAGAACGAATGGAATGGAAGCAACAGCCTTGCGAACCACGTCGTCAGCTATACGAGCGGACTAAGTGCCTTTCATGCGTTGCTGGTAAATGTTGTTCCCAAGGTTGTGGCCATCAGTGGAGGGTACCATGGCTGCCACGGAGTGATTGATCTGCACAAGAAGATGCACGGTGTCAAGACAGTCGATCTCCACGCCGATGAATCAGCCTGGGATGCTGTTGGCTTGGGCAAGGGCGATCTTGTTCATCTGGAGACCCCCTTGAACCCTACAGGCGAGGCCTTTGAAATTGCAAAATATGCAATGCGAGCGCACGCAAGAGGAGCTTTGCTCAGTGTAGACGCGACTTTTGCGCCCCCAGGCCTTCAAGATCCATTCAAATGGGGCGCCGATGTTGTCATGCACAGTGGAACAAAGTATATTGGCGGCCACAGCGATTTGCTTTGTGGTATTCTTGCTACATCTGCAGGGCCTGAAGGCCTCAAGCGGGCAAAGACATTACGTGCTGAGCGCATCTTCCTTGGAGCCGTACTGGGTAATCTGGAAAGCTGGCTCGGTGTGCGTAGCCTGCGTACCCTGGACCTGCGTGTGCAGCGCCAGTCTTCCAATGCCGACAACCTCGTTGGCTGGCTGAATGATTCGATAAATGGCAAGGGAGAAGATGCGGAAGCTGTTAAGAAGGTTGTCAGTAAAGTCAAGCACGCATCGCTCCAGACTTCCGACATGTCCTGGCTCGAGCAGCAGATGCCCAATGGCTTCGGTCCCGTATTCAGCATCTATATGAAGGAAGCGAAACAGGCTCGTACGCTCCCATCGCACCTCCGACTCTTCCATCACGCTACTAGTCTGGGTGGTGTGGAGAGCTTGATCGAGTGGAGGAGGATGAGCGATTCTGAGGTGGACGAGAGATTATTGCGTGTTAGTGTGGGTGTGGAAAACTGGGAGGATTTGAAAAATGACTTGTTGAGTGCTTTCAAGGCACTAGCGAGTGGTGAAGCTACACAGGAAACAAATGGCAGTGAGAAGCTGCATGTCGGACAAGAAGGAGCGCATATTCCAAAGGCAGGAGCGGGGGCTGTGTAAGAAGTCACAAAGACTTTCTATGCCGACGTTTGAGAAAGCCATTGGTTCATGAATATGAATTTACGTATAGGTGGGCGTGAGACTCTGCCCAGTCTTATGAGGTGCGCAGCCTATTGAGAGTATTCAATCACATGTTCAAGTTGATCCGGGTATGCTATAAGCAGGCGAGTGAAATATCCCTAGGGGACGAAGCCGCCCAGTGAATGACCAATGCGGCTGTACTTCCGACAAGGCTTAACCTGTGCGTTTGTCTTGGGGGTGAGTTAGTGTGAATTAGTCACTACAGCTGATTCTATGGTGCCTCTCATGACAGTACAATTACCTGGCGTTGAAGCTGTTGTTTTTGAGGTTGCAGATCATATTGCTAACTTTCAAGTATCGTCACCCAGAATCAGAGTTCAGTAAGTAGATTCCACATCTACGATTTCTCTGCTGCGGGACCGTGACGCGCCGACGATACTTCTACCAAAACATGTACATGATAAAGCGCATGTGCATGCTGGTCTTCGCGTTGAGACAGGTAAGTGTTTTTCTGAACAGCTAATCATAGCGACGTACAGCCAATCCGGTTATTCTGACGTGAATTCCTGGGGCATTTTCCTTAAGCATAGTAGGGAGGAGATGAGCAAGCTATGTTTACCCCATGAGAGTGTGAGACAATCTCCTAATTGAAGTGAATGCCTCTGCTATTTCTACTCCAATCTACCACGGTTTGTCTCTCCCTGGATGGAGCGAGCTGAGCATTGTAGAGAATTTGGCTGAACAGAGCTTATTGTTAAAAATTTCAAAGCAGATTCCATTGCTAACTCGCTACGAGCAAATCGGACTCGAACTTGGTCTCACAGCAGCATTCGACGGGTTCGTTTGTCCACAGCCACTCACCGCACCACTAATTGTATCATCAACTGCTGCATTGAACGCTGCACCGCAGTTCGGATCACTGAGGTACCATGTCAGCAAGAGACTTTTCCCAATAATCTTTCTCCCAGTGATAGCTTACCTCGCACCACCAATCGCATTGTTGAACCAAGAACAAATATCATGTGAGAAGCAATCCTGTGTATATACGTTGCCAAGTGCAGCGCCTGAGCAGCCCGCTCCGCAACGGCCGTTACAGCTGTAGCTATAGATTATGTCAGTTGTTGTATGGGTGGAAATGTGCGAGGGTTGGATTGCGTACTCTCCGCCGTTTACGCTGTTTGTGCCGAAGTTGCTGCCTACGATGCCAGTCCAGCGACAGGTCCGGCCAGCCGCATTAGTCCATGTTGCTGTTGCGGTGGCGCCGACCTTGAGACACGATATTTGACGTTTTTCCAGGGCAGGAGCTGCAGACGCTCCGGTTGCTAAGAGAGCAGTAAGACAGAGACTGACCAGATACATGTTGGGTGGTAGCTTTGTAGAGAGACGATTATTCGTGTTGGCGATGATTGTACTGCTGATTGTACATGTTGGATTCTTTTAGATGCTTAGAATCAGACTTTTATAATGGGAATGAAATGAGCTAAAAACCGTGCTTTCTGCGGAGATTTGATGCAGATCTACGCTCGGTAAGTAGTTGATCTTTCTCCGCAAAGCCGGTAGATAGAATACCTTGAACCATTCCCGAGACGGACGTTCCTGCCAGATGAAGTGCAAGCCCTATACACTACGCGACTGGAACTGTTCATATCTGTACTAGGTCTCACCACACGGTATTTCCTCAACGGCCTAGTTCTCGGTCCTGTCCAGCTGACATGAACAATCAGCCAGTGATGTATTTGCGATTGGCGGAAGCGTACAGCCGCATCTTGAGTATGCGGCATGCATCCCGTTTCGAGACATTGAGATCTCTACGAAATAGAGCATAGCAGATCAATTTGGGTCGCGACATGCAGGGATATAATGTTGCAATCGTAGAATTGCCGAGGCTCACGGTGTAACGGCTGAGCGTTCGACACGATTACGCTGGTAAATAGGTACCCCCCTACACTGGTGTTGTGTAGGGTAGGGTTGGGTCGCACGACCCACGGGTAGGTGTAGGGTAGGGTCGCATGGGCCATGGGTAGGTGTAGGGTTGGGTTATTGATTATATAAGACTCAACCCTACACCTACCCAAGTCTTGGCAACCCTACCCTACCCTACACCTACCCATTTACCACCGTAGCCAAGGAGTTTGGATAAGCGGGATGAAGAGTTTCGGGGGTGCGGAGCAGTATTTGAGGGAGAGTTATGGGACAAGTGATAGGCAGCGTGAGGCGCTGAGGAGGGATCTAATAGTGGAGTGTAGGCGAAAAGAAGATCTGCGAAGCTGCTGGAATTAGTAAGATGGGGTGAATGTATATGAAAAGTCCTGATCAGTGGTAAAACAGCTGTATCGTGGGTTTTTACGGCAGAGTGATAAACCAATTGCACATAGTCCTTCTCGATCAACCCTTGTGGTGTTTGTATTTGAAACTACTTTTGAGTTGAGGTTAGATATTCCTCACCCACTATGCGCTTTCTGAGACGTTACGAACGCTACAAAGACCATGAAGCCAACGATATTTTTCCTCGAAAAAGTGAATTCCTTATATGTATCTTTAGTTCAGATTCCTTCATGAGTTCTTCTGACTCAATTCTGCCTGCCTTTCCATTTGACATTTTACTATGGATGCGTCTTCTCCAGCACAACCTGTACTGATCCGTCATCATCACCCTTAGTCGTGTATCTGACTTTGCAACCCGCTGCCCAAGCATCCAATTCATCGTTCTTTTTCTGCGCCACTCTTGCCAAATCATTCGCGTCAGCCCCCAGTCCCACCACACTATCCAGCAAAAGCCTGGTTACGTCGACTTGGCGATGAGCTCTTCCTGAGAAAGACTTCCGTGTAGAAAGTGCCATGATCCCCGTGATGGCAGCCGCTCCAACCAAGCACACCAGTCCCACAAGAAGGATACTCGGAACGTACGTGATGCGGTACTGCTGCTGCATCTCTAATGCGGGGACGTTGATTGTTTATTCGGGACGGTTGTGCGAAGCATTGTTACTGGATGCCGCTACCTCGTATATAATACGCTGCGCCTCGCCCGAAGCATAGAGAAAGTTGAGGGCAAAGTTGGTAAAAGTGTCGTTGGCTTTGGTACCCCACTCGTCCACTTCTTCCGCATACATTTTGTTGAGCGCTGGCCCAAGACCGGGAATCACGGATCCGGGGGCGTGGAAGTTGAGGTTGCTAGATTGGAACTTGGCGAGGAGAGAGGGAATGATGGCTTTTTCCTGTGAGTAGGGAAACAAAATGGTGTCAATGGTCCAGCCGCTGATGCTCGAATCGTTGCTTGAGACCCGACTCGAGTTAGCGAGTCCTTGTTCGCGGTACAGTACGCATCGCAACCCACTGATGGACATGATCCCTTGGGTTCCGTTGAATCCCCATTGGCTCATGTTGAAGGCGCGGTAGCCCACGTCGCCGTATTGAGACGGAGTCGTACTGTTGGACAAGTTGAACCGTTCCAAGTGACCTAGGTACGCTTCACGGTAGCCCAGAGAAAACGCAGCATATGTGTAGCTGTCGCCGTCTCCGGTTCGGATATTGTCTGGTACACCCGGATAGTTGGCTTGGAATATGGTGTTGTTTGACTTGTTGGTCGTGTTGAGCATGAGTCCGATTTGTGTGTTGAGCGGGCCTAGGGGCTGCATGACGGATACTGACAATGGCAGATCGGGAATGCAGTCAACCGAGATTCGATAGGCTGGTACGTTCTCTAGCTTGGAAATGGACGGCGGCAGAGATCGTAGCGATTGAGTTGTTGCGTTGACGCCCACGTAGGTACCATTAGTTAGCTTCGAGATGGCATCTTCGTAGGATAGATCGGTCAACAGACTCATCATGCCCTTTGCGACTTGGGCGTTCTGGGACATGTCGAAGTCGTACAAACGCAGTTTGAGATTATCATCTATCCCGAGGTTGGCGTTGATGACAGCGTCGGTCTGCAGTCGTAAGGCAGCCAAGGTCTTTGAAGAGCTCAGCTCAGAAAATGCCTCGTACGCAATGACATTGCTCAAAGCTGTTCTGGACATGGCGGAGAGAATGGTCAGGAAAGCAAAAGTTGCAAGTGACCAAGTCTTGCCGAGAAGCAAGTTTCGAAGATGGAAAAGGTCGTAATTCCCGCCAGACGTACCGCTGGCAGCTACCAGCGTGCGAAGTGGAACTGGTTTCGAGTGTTGTTCATTCACAACGGAAACGCGGGCGCTCGCGAACCACACATAGTTCACAACTGCCATGAACATAGGCGCTAGTATCGCTCCTGTGATTACATCAATCGCTTTTGCTTGTGCTTGGCTAAGTCGGCCTCCAATCTCCTCACCCGCGAAAGTATCGAAGATACGCGGATTGGCTCGGACACATGCCAGCCAAGCGATGAGTGCGACAAGTGGAATAGCTAGCGTCAGGACAATCTGCGCAGCCCACCATGATTGTGAGGAACTCTTTTTCAGGCCGGGAACAATTGGTATTGTGGTTGTGTATGCAGGAACTTTCTCTGCTTCGGAGGTTGAGGAATCTTCAGTTACGGGTACTAGACCATAAGGCTGCGAGTTTGGTCCTCCCAGTAGATGGAGAGCGCTGTTTGGCATAGCTTGGTGGAAAATTGCATTCATAAAATCAAGTGAGATTGCACCAGTATTATATATGCCTGGACAATGTCAGACGTGGCTTTGGCCCCCAAATCACCGGTCCACTGAGAATCCGTAGTTCTGCTCAAGCGTTTTTCTGAGCCAATAGTAGTAGTAGTAGACGTTCGAAACGCGGAACCCAAACCTCCTAGCGCTCGCTTGCTATACTCGTACAATTCAGCCCCCAAGACACGCAGCAGCGCACTGACTGACATAGCCACGAAGCATTTTTCAGACTGATTCCCTTACATGCATCAAAAACAAGCTCAATATTCTCCGAGAGAGTTCTGCAGCTTCTGACTTCTCCCACCATATTAGGCTGGCAAAACATCAAACTGAGGCTCGTTCCAAATCGTACACAACAGCGAAAGAGCCGGCATCAATCTGCTGCCTGCCGTTCTTATTTCCTAGCTCCCACTAAGTTGCAACAAAAAGCAGCAGCTTAGCCTACGCAGCAATAGTACAGATGGTATCCGTGGAAGTGCTGGCAGTGATCTTGTAATGGGTAACTGGTATTGAGAGAAGGGTCGGGCACGACAGCGTTTCCGTCTTTATAGAAGTATGATTGTCGTTACCGCTGGTAAGTTGGTGGTTTGCATAATGAAAACTCCAGCCTATGGACAGGCTACGTTGCTAAAATACACATCACATGAACATAAGCTCGAAATAATTCAGTTTCTAGGATAAGGAATAAAAGATTACATAACGGTTATAGATTGTAGTATAGTATATAAATTGATAAGGACAATAGAAAACGTATATAACTATATTCAATCGCTAAAGAATGAAGAACCAGCGAAATATCAAAGTCATCAAAATGAACCTTAGCGATTAATTATTCTACTAGTTGATACAATGTGAATGTATAACGTCTGTATTAGTTGCATTATCATACTACAATCGACAGAGCTTCGAGTCGTGCAAAGAAAGTAATTTTAGAAGGTTAAAAAGTTACATTCTTAATGTAAATATAGCTTATATAAGAATAAATAGAGCTCGTTATAAATAACGAAACAGCTGAAGATATAGGGCATAAGTAGAAATATTATAGCTAGATGATAATCGAACCGTAGACTTGGAACTTCTTGTATAGAAAGCTAAATTGGAACGGGACGATTCCGTTATAAGTGACTGTAGAAAAGAGGTCTGCTTCTTATATCGTAACGAGGATTTTATCGCGCTGGCACTCCGACTTCTAATTATTACCAAGTATAGGTTAGACTGCCTTAAGAAGTTAGTAGCGATGATCCAGTATGGATCCTTAAGCCTGCAAAGCGAGCGCTTCGGCTGCTAGCATGGCAGTTAGGCATAAGAAAAGTTGTTACTAAGGAAAAACGTGCGATCTAGTTTGGTGCTTGTACTAATAAGATGGAGATAGGTAATACAAAAGGCACACATGTGCTTAGCAAATAAGGTCGATTGCTTTCTTTCCCTCTTTCTATTAGCAATGATTACAGAATGATCGAATGGTGGAGACACTAGTGCGTTTCTTTGCGCCAGTGCTACCTCACAAACGGCGCCAGCCTATGCGCACTTTGGGGTTGTTGATTTGTAATTTCAAAAGGTAGTCTGAGCCCAATATATATCGTATTATACTACTTATCACGCTGTCTACCTATATTGACTAGTCACAGAGAGAGTCTGTAGATCACTACGATATTACTTTGTGCAAAAGCTTTTGGCTATTGGTTGGGTATCAGGAAGACGCTTCCATCAAGTCTTTTTGTCACGATGCCAGCCCTATGCGCAACATAATACTGTTGCATCACTGATAGTCACCAACAGGTCTTTGGTTCCCCCAGATGTGATGTGTGCAATTATAAATGCAGTGGTTTTTGTGTCATGGAACCAATTTCGTAGGTGAACCAATATCTCATCATTTATCAACGGCAGTGGCTATGGAGGAAGAACGAAAGTGCTTCACGTAATCGTTGCGTGTTGCAGCTGAAAGAAAGGAGAGATGCGAACTAAGGGTAAGTGATGAGCCACCCTATCAGCACCTGGACATTACCAAATGATGCATCACGAAAGAACAGTTCAACGGAAATCAGAAGAAACAGTATCATTTGGCACCCAGAGTTTGAACAGTAATCCATCGACCATAGTACCGAAAGACCTAGCGTCTACCAACAAATCAAATGAATCAACGCGCACTACAAGTATAAAGCTTGCTGTCCATCCTGCCTATGTGTCTCTCCTCAGGGCGCCCTCAACGTAACAAGTCCGGTCTGTGATGATAACTCTGTCGCTCATGAACATGATGCTGACTGATCAATCTGAGACTGAAAGTAAGTTGGGAAAGCCTGTCAAGTTTGCGCATGTTAGCCAAAAGCTAAGCAGGGCGCCTTTTACAGTCAGGGTGTCGTTTCTCATCACTGGCAAAAGCCTCAGATCGTAACAAGTCAATCATTCCACCTGCCTGTGAGTTTATGTGTTTGGATCATAGAGCCTGAGATGCAAGATTCGGAGACGTTCCGTCAAAGGCGAATGGTAGGTGTGGTGGTATGGTGGTATGGACAGACCGTAGTGAAGAGGACAATAGCTATGAGCCGGTACTTGGGCGGTTGGTGTTGTTGTTGTTGCTGCTACAGATGCCTTGATCGGCTTCTTTCCAGCGCTGGACTTCTTGGGGAGCTTCTTGTCGGCGGCCATGATGCGTAATTGGAACCGTGTGTCGCGTTGAGGTATGCAGATAGATTGTGGAGAAGTGAAGATACCAACGGCGATGAGATGGTATGGATGGTAAAAGTAGGAGTTGAGAGTCGGAGTGATGGATGGGATGAGACGGTATGCATTCTTATATACTACAAATGTGTCAAAAACGACTTCTACTTGTGACTCGTTGCACCCACTCTCTGTTGATCTGACCTTCCGTCTTTATTATGTATCTTCGAAGGCGGCTGCGCTCTTTAAAGACACTCGTGCTTGCAAACATTCGTTAGATAGAAGTGATCGTTAACTCGTAATGGCAGAATAGTTTCGTCTAAGAAAGTAAGCTTAAGTTAACTACAATGCTGTTGCTTACGGTGGTAAATAGGTAGGTGTAGGGTAGAGTAGAGTTGCTAAGACCTAAGTAGGTGTAGGTGTAGAGTCTTATATAAGTAGTAACTGTTGAGTGTATAGCTTGAGTAGAAGTAATATAAGACTTCCGGTGTCAAGCTTCTT